GGAAAATCCTGACGGGAATGTTTTTGTGGGCGCAGTGAACTTAAGGATTGTCCATCCCTAAGGAACTTAATAAAATGTGTAGCTAGTATGGCAGTCCCCTTTGCATTTAGATGCAGGCTACTAGAGTTCAAATATGTCTCATCATGAAACATAACTAAATATATTGTATTTATTGTATTTTTATGATTTATGACAAAACTACGCAAATATTTATTGTTTTTATTATAAATCATAAAAATACAACAAATACAATATATTTAGTTATGTTTCTGTGGTGGCGAACATATTCGTGAAAATATTCAACCCCCCTGTCATGTGTCCACGAGAAGTTTTCGCGAAGATTGCGCGTGACTTTCAAATGATTTGTTTTTTATTTTGAACCTAAATGGTATACGGGAGGATTTTTCCTTCCTAATGGGACAAAAGTTGCCAATTTTTGGATTGGGACTATTCTACAATGAAGTACTCTTGGATACTGTAATCTAAATACATATGGAAACGAAGAAGTTGCATTTATCAGACAGAGAAGCGGCGAGCCATTAAAATGGCGGCATTTTGGCGGAATATCGAAGGACACAATATCGAAGGTAAAATACACTGCACTGTTACAAAAGTGGATGAAACCTTCTTTGAAAAATTCTTCAGCCATTTATGATTATGTAAAAGTACAATAACTGGATGATATTTGCGAGATTCGGCGATAAAGAGCAAACAAGACGGCAAAATATGGCTGAAATCGTGTTTTCGTGGGGGGTAAGTGAAATAAAATGTATTATATTTAAAGAAAACAATGACAATCCTTATGAAATCAACAATATTTATATTAAATTAAGCATAGTTTTTCACCCCATGATATTTTTTTTTAGGAAATAAGAATATTTAATTTCTGCCAGGCATATTAGTTATTTTGTGCATAATCAGCAATTTACCTGGGGTGGTGCATATAGTCATTTTCTGGTAAAATATTATACTTCGACAAATTTTTCCTTCCAATGACCACCCCTAAAAGCAACCCTTCTAAACACTATAAGCACTTCAGAAAGGCTATCGCTTTTCCTTTTCTGAAGTTAGAGCTATGTCGACACTGCTGTTTCAGGGCGGGGTCATTTTCAGGACTTTCGCCCCGGATTCAGGTTTTCGCACATATGCCATGTTGACCGCCATGGTCATTTTACCCTAAAACAGTTGAGATTACCTGTCCTAAATGAATCGCATACAAACTCATATACAGGTCCTAGACTAAATGTCATCATCCCTCATCTACATGTATGATTACATTGTCATTGATTGCGGTTTAATAGGATTTAGAAGCGGTTTTTGTTCTTAGACTACATGATATTGTATTCTTCGATGTTAACACGTTCTTTAAAAATCTCGCTATCTATTGTCTACTTCCAAATCATGACTATTTTGAGCAGTATCAGAAAAAAGAAGGTGGGAACGGCAGGGTTTATTTTAATGTGCAGTTCTACACAAAATGTGCAGTTTTAAACCCATTTGTGCAGTTCTTAAAACGCAAATGTGCAGTCACCAAGCTAACAAAAATAGCCTTAATTAAAAGTCTTCTCATTTACTCGTTACGCTTGTGGATGCTCCAGAAAATTCCAGAAATGCTGTCATTAATTGGGCATAAAAAATATAAACGTTTTCTGGGGGAGGACTCCAGACCTCCTATTTTCCTCACAAATCACTTACGTGCCGGGGTAATGGAAAAGAAGGTAAAATTGCATGGGACGAGCGAAGCTACCCAAGAGATTAGAGTGGGAGAACATAATATTCTTTGCTGCCTCAAATGCAAATTTAAGGTTGTTATATATTGAATGTCCATGATTCGCAGTTTGCTTTGCTTTGAAACAGTTTTTGTGAGTGGTTGGGTAGAACAAATTTTGCCAGAACTTAAGGTGGCTCGATATAGTTATCACGAAAACCCTGCTCAAAAATCGCGAACTCAAAACATAGAACATACCTCGCCTGACTTACGCGCAGGTCGCGGAAACTGATTAACAAAATGACAGAACTTCCAAAATGACCTGACGTAAGAAGCTGCTCGCGCCATCTCACGTCATTTCGCGTGTTCTATATAGCGTTTTATGTCAATTGCTGACGTCATTAGAATTTTCCATTTTAGAAAAACAATGCGCTATATCTCTTTATTTTGTTTGGTGACCTATGTTCAAATTTTGCATGCTGTATTGCACCGCTAAAAACTTTCATTATACAAAAAATAAAAAATTCTGTAATGCCAAAAAAATTTTACCGAAGAATATGACATTTTCGCATTTTCCAAAAAAATGGCATTACAGAATTTTTTTATATTTTGCTAATTGTTAGCTTTTCGTCCAAGTACAATAATGAAGAAAAAAAATTGGGGGTCACCATGCTTCTTTTCCAACTATACGAGACGAAAGGCCATTTTGGAGTGTATTTTGTACACGTATGTCGTCATAGCAACGAACTATCTGTTACTAAAACTAATATAATTTGAAAGTAGAGATATCGAAATATATAAAAAAACCAATATCTGCTGAATATATTCTAAAAATGCATAGTTTGAACATTTCAAAGTGTTGAACACCTGAATTTTTGAAAACTGTATCGAGCCACCTTAAGAGCCTCTAGATTCAAATTGTTTTGGGAAACACCCCCTAGCTCCGGCACCCAAAATCGAGTTTGTCTGGCCTCTCTCCCACCCAACCACACCATTATTCTGTCACCTATATGCAGGTAAAAAATCCTTCTTCCCCCCCCCCCCAGTAAAACACCCGTTGCCTTCGTAACATCCCTTATATGTGCAGCTCTAAATGTTTCTTAAAATAAACCCTGGGGAACGGGAAATTGCGATGAGGCATGTCGGGATAACGGGATTTTAAGTGAAAATTGCATTGACAATTCAGACCGGTACCAGATTTTTACTCCAAAAGTTCCACGGATACTGAATCCTACTTATCATCTGACATTGAGTCAAAGTGAAACATTCATATATACTTTATGTTGATTTAATAACAATTATAGTAAAAAGAACTATATAATAACGATGAATGTAGAGAGACTCTTTGAAATTGCTGTACTTATAGTACTATGTTTATTTACCCTAATCACTATGAATGATTGAATTTAGTTATTAACTGCTCTCGCAGAGTACATTATAGGATACATTAAAAATCTTGGAAAAACAAAAGCATGGCTACTATCAATACTAACAATCGTTATCATATTTAAAAATCTGAGCACAAATACATTTAATATTCAAATTGTATAATGTAATTTTTTTGTAAGATTTTGGTACCCCCTATAGAGGTTCTGTTGTTTTTCTCGTACCCCCTCAGAGGTTCTGGATTTTTTCGTACCCCAAAAAATATCCCCCACATCCCCTAGTATATTCATTATGACCGGTCCCTTACTGTATAAAAAAAATAAGATAGCCCAACTGCAAGCCGGAAAATGGGCATTTGATAGGAGTTCTTGTAGAGATTATCGACCACATTAACATAATAAAAGTTGATATAGTATAAATGAAATAGCAAGTACTATACTTTAACGTGAAAATGTTACGAAAAAAAGTAACGTAAAGTCGTAAACGTTGCCGTTGGTCAGAAAAGTAACGCGTTATAGTTCCATTTTAAGCCAAAATGTAACTAGTTACAAATACCTCTTTTTCAAAACGTACGTAACTGCAGTAGTTACAGTTATTCAAAATACTTGCGATAGATGGACAATGCGGAAATCGTCATCTTAAGATAAATATTAATGCCCAGCAGAAAATACGTAAAAAGCCATAACAAAAATATAATCTTGTTTCTAAAAGGTTTTGGATCTGAAACAGAAAGTCAACAGGAAAACGAAACAAATTGAATGTATGGTTCACTACAAGAAGACACATACAAATATAAATGTCAAAGAAAGATCTAGCCATCCCTCCTCGACGAAGAAAGGTATAATTAAAGGATTTGCAGATCGGGCTCGAGCATTATGCGATCCTGGATATGTAGAAGAGGAACTGAAGAACATCGAAGATGTGTTTGTGGCTAATGGGTATGAAAGAGAGACAGTGAAACGGTGTATGAAAAGCAAAGAGGAAGATACGAATGAGTCGGCAGAGTCTAAAGATGAGGAGTGTTGTAGATGAATGGTGGTACCGGTTATACCATATTTACAAGGAATGTCAGAACAGTTCAAGAGAGTCGTTAAGAAGCATCTTTCCGTACCGCATTCAGACCTGGGAATAAAGTGAGACAAATGAAAACAAAGGCACAGAAACCACTGGGAGAGAAACGGAAGATTGTTGTTTACGAAGTTCCTTGCAAATGTGATGAGGCGGTTTATGTGGGAGAGACTTGGCGCTTATTTGGAACTAGAAAGAAAGAGCATATGAGTAAAGTTCGGTTGACGGAAGAGGACATAACTAGAATGGAAAACTAGAGTCGGCAAAAAGAAAGGATGGGAAAGGAAGATGGAGGTTTGACGAGACATAGCGTTGATTGCCAGAGTGGGATTGATTGGGAAAAGGCACGAGTGATAAATTAAAAGTGGGATTAAAACAGAGGAAAGTAAGAGAAGGAATTGAGTCTTTAAGAGAACAATATAATGGCTACACGATTTTAAACAATTTCGAACAATTGGTGATGTGGAGACCATTGTCATAGATTAAGTAAGGACAGATGTGTAACTTCAGGAAAAAAGTTGTCCCATGGTCGCCATCTTCCTAGCAAGTGTCGCTCGCGTGATTATTCGTCATTTGGTAGTACGTCATTGCCTTTAAAAATGTTTTCAACACCTTTTCTACAACTTTAATTGCTTTTAACAACTTCAAACATTCAACAAATGATGCTCTTGATTGTTTAATCCATAAATTTTGACCCAAGAAAGCCGCAATAAAAATGCAAAAGGAGTTCATGTTTTCCAGGACGCCATCTTCCTAGCAAGTGTCATGGTGTGAGCATGACGTGTACATCTAGGGAAATTTGAGGACACGAAATCCAATTAAGTTACATATCTGGTATATACTTCATCTGTGCCATTGTTAAATAAGTATTTTAAGAAAGAACAATTGTAAACAGGAACACGCGCGCGCAAGTGGATAATGACGCGCGCGCGAACTGACGTGACTGACAGTTAAAGTCGTCAGCATTTTTTAATATAACCACAGAATAGAAAATAGACCAGAAGCCTCACTTAGCCAAAATTATGTCCGAGATTTTTTATGCGCAGGCGCGAGCCAGCAAGTGTAATCACGACGCCATCAAACGCCATCACTAGGTAATAAAGATTGCTGTTTTAACCGTTTTGCTGACGAACGCTGTTCGCAGCAAAGTGTCACAAGTGAACGTGATGTTCGCAGCAAGTGTCACACACGTCATCTAGCGTGCGAAATTCGTGATCCGCAAGGCGAAAATCGCGGACACGAAAATGTTAGGAAAAGATATACAGTGAGGCTTCTGGTCCATTTTCTTTTCTGTGATATAACGTTAACAACAGTTGTCGCCTGAAGACGGACATTTAAAATGTCCGAAACGTTGCAAATTTAAATAAATTAACCTTTTGTATATATCCTTGAGAAATAAAAATAAGAAATAAACAAAAATATAGTTTAAAATATTTATTAGAAAGCTAATCTTTCGTCTTTAACTTAAAAAAGCTTCGGAGCAATGACACACAAAGCGGAAAACATAGAAATATGAATAAATTACAACTATTTACAAGATATTATATTACAAAAGTAGAAAGAGGAATGGATCAGAGTATAAGTAGAGGGACCGTACTGCCTTGTAAGTTGAGAGGGGGTTTGAGTTTGTTAATGAGAAGACTTTCTCGAATGAGGAGTTCGTCTGGAGAAGGGCAACAAGAAATAATTTTAAAATCATTAAGAGAGGCGTTGTGGTCATTCGCCACAGACAGTATAGTCTTAATTTGGCGTGTACAAAGTCAAGCGAGAAACAGAAGGGGGTCGCGTCTTTGTTGTAAGGACTGCCAAAGAAAATCCCATCTATGTTACGCTGCAGAAGTCTGGTCTCAAAGGCGCGCCACAAGATGTGACCAGTGCTATCAACTGATGGGAAAGGATACTAGACATGGCCGGATTGCTGCTTTTACTGCCTGTTAGAGAAGAAACACCTAAGTGCTCGGATACTCGTATGTGGAAGTGAAGAGCCGTTTGGCCCAAATACGTTGCGGAACAGCAACGACACGTGAAGGAATACACAACACAAGATCTTAAAGCCTTAGGAATTTTCTTCTTAGAGGTGAAGAGTTGAGACAAACGTAAAGCTGGACGAAGATACGTTGGTAGGGATATGCAGCTGCTTG